TGATTTCCAATCTGCACATCATCATTTAAATTCATTTTACTGTTTAATATTTCATGTTTAATATGATATAAATTTTAATGAGCTTATGCCATAAATTTTTTTACCATAAATTATAAAACGGAAATAGGTGGCAAATTTCAGTCGTTGAAATGAAGACTCATTTTTATAAATAGCTTTAATCGACTTTAATACATTATAATTTAATTTCTATTGCTAATCCTATGTTTAGCACTTTCAGCACTTTTTGTTTGAAAGAAAAATATTGCGAAAATTCGTTTAGTATTAATTTGGTGTGAATTGTCATTTTTAGTAAATTTTAGTTATGCAAAATATCTTTTTATTTCGTTTATTCATCGTTTATTAAACATAACTAATCAACTAATTTAATAAATATCATTCAAAAGAAAGTAAAAAATGCGAGGAATTGAGAAATTGGCCTGAAACAATTGAATCAAATTTTTATGAGCATTTCTTTTGTAGTTCTAACTATTCTGTTATAGTGGTGATAAATGATTAGTAAAATGTTGAATGATGAACGCTTTCCTCATCATTGCAAATGAAAAGCAATTATGGTTTTGTAGAAAATTTATTTTGATTAATTTATTTGCTTTATTATGAACTAAAAAATTTTGATTTTAGCTAATTTTTGATTTTTTTTAGGTATTCAAAGTTTTAACGCTATATTCTTCATTTTTCTTCAAATTTTTTTCAAGAATTTTTCCCTCATATTTTTTATTTTTTTTAGAAAATTCGCATAAGTTTCCAAAAATATTATTTTTCAAACAGAAAATTTTTATTATTCGTGTAATTTGGCAAATTAAATCATAAATTAGTATTTATCATAAATCAACAAAATTTGTAATTTTACTGAGAAAGTTTTTCTTCCCTCTTAAAAAGCAGATTATCAAGTCTTTGTTTTGATTATTTTGATCTTTTCCCTATTTAAAGATGTAAAGTCAATTAATCCTTTTCTTCCATTGCTGTATAAATATAATACTCAAATACTCAGATACTTTTCAGATTTTATATCACTCGGTCATTATTTTTCCCTAATCCTAATAACTTTTTTAATTTCATTTCTCTTGTTACTTTCATGTCATTTTTTTAGAGATCTCCATAGAGTGCTCAATGGTTTTTAAAATAGCAACGTGCGGACTTTTTTCCAAATGACTACTGGTCTGGTTTTCTTCAGGCAAAACATATCCTTTATCAATGCCTAACTATTTTTAAAAAAGTGAGATATTTGATTGTTTTGCAAGAATTTTCAAAAAACCAGTATGGTAAACGCATATGAACTAAGCTAATCTCTTAATGCATTTTTTCAAAGATAACGTAAATTGTAAGTTTGCATTTATCATATATATGTAAGCGGCCTTCTTTGCCTATTTTTGCTATGAAATCTGCCGCACTAATGAAAAGAACCAGCCATAGTCTTCCAGTATGCCACTCAAGTACTTACTAAGCAATATTAAGCCTAATTTTTTAAAAATATTTAGTATATATTATTCTTCAGCACAAAAGCCTTTACCTTACTTATCTATGGAATTTTTTTCACTGCGTCTCTCTCTCAGAGATAATTTCTTCCATTTCAAAAAAAAGAGACAAAAATTTAAAACAAAGAAAAACAAGGCCAAAGACTGTGTTCGAAATATGTATTATGTATATCTTCATGTAAATCGGGCAAAATTATTATTAATTTTATTTTGCGAATATTGCTTTTTTATTTTTTGAAGGAGAGATAAATCCAATAAAGCTTCGAGCTGGTTTTCGGGTAAATTAATGAATAAATTTAAAAATAGAGCTTTATAAACAATTCATTATTTCTTGCAATTTTAAGATCAGTGCCGATTTCCACTGAAAATTTTATATACTATGGGAATTATGAAAATGATTTTTTATTTTCTTAACTATTTTTCGCAGTGCTAAACTACAATATTTGCAGTTTTTCAAAAACTTTCTCTTGTACGAGCATATTGCTGCAAATTACCATTGTTGTTATTGCTTTCATTTTCTTATATTCCTTTTATATTCAATAAAAGAAGTTTGTTCTCTCTTCTTTACTTATTTACTTATACTGTTTAACCAAACCTATGAAAAAGTGGGTGAAACACGTGGTTGTGGTTTGAAGCATGAAGAGCGCTTCCCGAAAAATGATAAAGCCATGCATCGAATGCAATCGTTTTAGGGCGTCTAAGTGAGTTTAGCCTGCAAATCAACCCACAAAGCGTTACCATCGATGCGAAAGAGTTGTTTTATGCGATTTTTGGAGACAATACCAGTAAGCGAATGGTTAAAATTCAAAAGTATTCGGCGAATTTTAAAAAATTTATATGGAAGATAAGCAGCAGTTTACGAAAAAGAGCTGAAGGCCAACATCGAAGTAAATTCACGCGTCAAGAAAGATTCCATGGGAAAATTGCAGAAGCGTTCCATCAGAATAATGCGACCATTCATTTAAAACTTGAACAATTGTGTCTATATGAATTACAATAAGCTACCCTACGATCTACTCATCGCTGTTCGCAAGGACCATAAGCCATTTTTGAAGAGGCTGTTGCACTATCTAAATATAAAAGAATCATGCGTTTACATCCAGTGAGCCTAGGAAAACGCATGATCCACCAATGTAATATTTCACTGCTTATGGATTTTTGCCTTCAGCTGATATTACCCATTATGCCGCTTGCCAATACTCCTCAGAAGCAAGAAAGCATTTCAAAAGCAGTTCATCCATGCACTTCCAAAAATATTGTTTTTCAGGTAATGAATGATTTCATCGATCGCAAGAAATTTAGCACACTTGATCTGAATCGAATTTGGCAGTAACCCGTGCAAATAAAGCAGAATAATCTTCAGGCTCAGTTAGACAACTCAGTTTTATCTACCATATTTCAAAGACTGCTTCACCTATCTTTTTGTGGTACTGCATAATCAACTGATTTTTAAACTGGGCAACACTGTTAATCAAAATTAGTCGAATCAGCTTTTCCCCACATTCTAATTGCATTACTTTTTTAAACTGCAATTTTTACAAATCACACGCGATTTATTCCAATTTGATAATTAAATTTAATAATAATCTTGGAATTTAGTAATAACATCCACAATTTTGAGACGGCTTTATTCAAAACATGCATGCGTTTTTTTTGTTATTTTTATTTTTTTGTGTAATTTCTTTGATTGCTTGCGGATATATATAAGTCTAAGCTTAAGCCTGTGCCCTAAGCCTAAGCCTAAGCTTAATTTATGGTTGCAAAAAGTGCGGTACCATCCAGTTTCTGGTTCAAAACATAGAGCCATCGCAAACGATTTAGCATAAGTTGGATTATTTTTTAATTTTATTTATTAATTTCATTTTGAATAAGATTATTGTTTTAAATAACAGCACTTTTATTTTATAGTTAGCTCATAGTTAATTACTTTCAAATATATAGAAAATATATCAAATAAACGATAAGCATTTAGGGCAAAAAAATCCCATATTGGAATATTTTACATATAAATTCGTTAAGTGTAGCGAATCTTTTTCTTGTTAATCAATCGCCGCTTAAGGCAAACTATGAATCTTTTATAGCTAATGGACTGAAAAATGAACGATAATATAAAACTTAGACTTCTGAATCAAATATCATTTCAAATGAAAAGCTAAGTGAAACAAAAGTGAAATGAAAAAAATGGGAAAATTTTAGATTAAAAAAATTTTATTTGAATCTAAATTTCAAATTAAATAATTCGATTTGTTTTATTTTTTTTTTAAATTGTCGCTACTTTTTAAAAACCCTTTATTCTTATATTTTTCTATATTTATTTTTTGCATTTTCTTTTTACGACCAACTTTTTTATGCTTTTCCAACTTTTTTTGCAGCTTTTTTCCATGAGATGAAGCTAAAAACATATTGTTGACAGAAGGGTATCGAGGAGAATGAGGCAAATGCAGCTAAACCGGATTCGAATGACATACCTTTTCCAGCCTATGCAAATGGTTCTAAAGTAAATTTTTCATAACTGTCGTGTTTGAAGCTTGAAGCTTCGCATGAAAGAGACTAAAATTGTGAGAAAGTAATAAACAAATTTCCTATTTATGTTTTCTCAAAAATGAATTATGAAGCGGCAATATATATATGCTAAAAATTGCCTTTAGCAACTTCACATTTATTCACATGAACTACCTTTTTCTGTACTCTCAACTTTGGTATGGCAAATTATTGTGTGAAACGTCTAAAATTGATTAAATTGCAGAACTCTTTGCTCGTCTTAAAATAAGAGTAAGAGGATTGATAATGATTTTATTTATTTTCTTACATCTATCTGCTTTTTCATCGAAAACATTCTAAAATGCATTTACCATAATGCCACATATGCTGATATTCCATTCATTTTTAATAATTGAATATTTTACACAACATTAGCATTGTTATATAGCATGGAACCAATTTACGAACTTTTTTAAATAATTTTATCTTTAACATATCCAACTAAAATATTAATTTTATCAATATTATCAGCAGTGTTGTCTTACGTCAGTGTTTTCTAATTTTCTAACAAATTTTTCAACAATGATAATATGAATTTAGTCGTTGAAAAATTTTGTGAATTAGAATTTCATTTCGAAATATAATGTTTATTGAAGTTATTCAAAGGATATTCATTTTACATATCATTTTTGATATATATCATTTTGGATAATTGAATTTGTAAAAAAGCGGAACGGATAGATAAACAATTTGTTTTATTAGAATGATCAAGAATCATCATTTTTGGCCAGACTTTGACTTATCGGGCCAAAGAAAGTTTGCCAAGAAGCCACATGGCGATAGAAGGGCAGATTAGCGAATAACATTTTCGAGATATGTATAATGATGCAGCTTGCAAATTACTTTATGCCGATCGTTTCGCATATAATATTCTGTCAATTGGTTTTAAATTGTTTATAGGCAATTTATCAACAATTAGCCGATATGAAACAGCTGTAAAATTGGTAAAACAAAAAATCAACCAGAATGAGGCGTTTAATCTCTATTCCATGGTCTTTATTTTTTGGTTGCCTATTTGTTATACTCACAACTGTGGGATTAATTGGAAATGTCGTCGTTATTGTCGCAATCGCAGGCGATCGAAAAATGCGACAGTCAGTTATGAATATTCTACTTTTTAATTTGGTAACAGTTCTCTCTCGAATAACATTTATTTCATAGAATTTTGCACCTACCCCAACCCAAGTATAATAATTTTTATATAATAAGAAAAATGCGATTTCATTTCATTAAAATTCCTTAATTTTTATATAATAAGAAATATTTCATTAAAATTCCTTAATTTTTATATAATAAGAAATATTTCATCAAAATTCCTTACATTTCCATAAGAAAAGAATTCTTTTCGTGGATGATTTTTGAATTAAATGATTAAAGAAAACAGATTTTCACGGATAAATTCTTTAATTTACATTTTATTAAACGAAAATAAAGAATTTTTCTCAATAATTTTTTTCCGTCATCTTTGTAAATACCTCACATTAGTATTTCTTTCTCAATGATCAACCAACGCGATTCGCCACGCCATTTGCCATATTATTAGAAATTCACCATTTCTAAACGACCTAAAAGTCTGCTATACTTAAGTTGGGGCAGCCATTTCTTTTTACAGTTATTTTCTTATTTAATTCTGCCTTACAATTTATGGATTATACGATAGAAAATCTTTTGTAAAATAAAAAATCTTTTAAACAAATATTTAACTTAATTTAATTGAAACTGCTTACTGATAATGAAAAAAATAAAAATTATTCTTCATTCTTCTTAATTTTTCGATTTTATTATTTTTACAACGAAATTCAACTATCAATTATCACATTGCTTATTCTATTGCAGGTGTAATTTATTCAACATATGGCAAATTAATAAACATCATTGCGTTTAATTTAGTTTTTAACAGTAATAATAATTAGTAATAAATAGAATATTTTAATTTTAATTCCTATGCAGCGTATTGAAGAATCAACGTGTATATATATATATATATATATATATATATAAACTTAATCCTTTAGTGCAGGTGCAAAATTCTTAACAAAATTAAACGATGGCGAAAATCTTAAGGCTCATTTTCATGAAATCGAAAGCAAAGACAAATGGTAGAAAGATTAATAATTCTATTTAAAGCTCCTCCGGCAAAAATCGCGTTTTCGAAATGCTAAACATCAAACTTTATAAATGAAACACAAAAATTCTAATTCAAATTATTCAATAAATTTATGTTTAAATTTATATAAATGAATTTACATGGGAAACTTTGGAAACGGGAAACTTTCAGGCAATTGCCGACACGCTGAATTTATTAACAACGACCATAGAATGGGTGCCGACAATAATCACTGGTACTCCTGGCTGGGTACTTCCATCCATACTTTGCCCAGTGGGGCGATATCTTGAGATAACTTTTCTTTTCGTCTCGATAATGACACAGCTGATTGTTTGCATTGAAAGGTTTGTTATTATCTCGAATATTTATTTATTTGACAAATAATTTTATTATCAATTGATATCGAGAAAAATTAATAGCAAATTGTTTTTTGCAAAAAGAATGATAATGCAAAATAAATAAGCGAATAACTAATCACGAATTGCCGCATCCAAATCTCTCTTGATTAAATGTATTAATCAAAGTGTAAAAGTCAGAATAACCTTTTGAAACCATCCATCTCAAAATTTATAGCGAGCTATTCATTCATCTTTTTGATAAATGGCAAGCTTAACCAGCTAGGCAACAATACGATACTATACACTGAATATATATGGTGTTCGAACAAGATTCAGCTTCAGCTCGACTGATAAATAAAATGCATGCTAAGTGGGAATATTAATGAAAGGTGTTAGTATCTTAGATTGTCATGAAGTGTATTTGCGCAAGAAATTCAAACTGCATCTATTAGGGCTTTCTCACCTATTATCTAACGCACAGCCAATTCAAATCATTTGAAAATCAGCACCATTTAAATGATGATGATTATGTTCGCGAAAATAAAGATTACACCGTCTTTGAAATATTAGGCAAAAACAATTCCAACATGTTTATAATAAATCTGGAGCTGCAGTTTTTTGCTACAATCGTCGACATTAGAATCAGTCAGTTCTTCATAACAGAAGCTCCAAAAACGATTAGCACCCACTCTGATTTGCGCACCTCTTGAGTACCGGTAAATTTATGATAAATCATTATTCCCCCAACTTCTATATATTTCATCAGTGATAATGGTTAATATCTATTGCATTTATAGATATATTGCTATTGTCTACCCGATACATGCGAGACGTTTGTGCTCAAGGAGAAATATTTTTATTACTCTTATTGTCATATGGTTGTTTGTGGCAGTTTTCTCTTTACCTTACGCATTATTGAATAAGAAACAAAAGAGTGAGTTTATGTATTTGTTTATAGGCACAATTAGCCAACGCCATGTACTTTTACAGAATAATGAATAGAAAAATTGAGAAAAAATATTGAAAATTATAAATATGAAAGGTCATCGAAATAAAATTATTTACAATTTATTATTATCATAATTTATATAATTAATTAAATGGAAAAATTATCGGAAAATTTGCATTTATAATGTATATTTACAAGCAGTTCTAATCCATTACTTCTCGATTATTATTATTATTATTATTATTATTATTATTATTATTATTATTATTATTATTATTATTCAAACCGAAGTTCAATGATTTACTGTAATCGACTTTAATTAATACAAAATTTGCTCTATAATTACATCAAATCCTAAATTTTTCTAATTGAATGATAATGAATTAGATAATTAAAGGGTATAACTGTAGGCTTTAAATTAATTTAGCAGATTTCTTGGCAGTGGAACAGTAACACGCCGTTTTATTCTAAATGGTGTCTAGTAAATGAGATTTCTTAGAGGGTTCAAAGGAATTATTTTCAAATGTTCTAAATTGCCAATAAATTGCCATGTGCCTAAAACTTTCATAAATCTAAAACATAACATATTTCTAGAGAAAGGCCTGCTGGATTTGTCTCTCCACATGAATTATGCTAATTCGAATTTATTTGAAAATTAACTGCTTTTTTTTGAATACTCCGATGAAAAAAATTATTAAAAATAATTAACAAATATTTCAGCTAATACTTGCACGAATATTTATATAAATTCGGAATCGTGGAAAAATTACAAGTGGATTGAATTTGCTAACTTTTATTTTTTTCCGTGCATTATTTTTGTCGTTCTATATTCAAAAGTTTCGATGATACTTTGGTCGAAGAATCGAGCGCTCTATAAAGGTTTCACATTTCTTATAGCCATAGGGAATTTTAATCGCTTTTATCGTGGTTATAATTTGCTTGGCTTCACTAAGGCTCATTTGGCAGTATAGACGAGCCTTCATCCTCACCACTGAATTCCACTTTCAACTGTAGGTTTAATTACTTCCCAAATCGAACCAGTGATATTTAATCTCATGAACCTGAAGCAATATTTACTCGTCCATAAGCTTCTTTTTCAGTTTTGTTTTGCCTAATATGACAAGATAAAAGAATGATTTCAATTAAAGTTGCAAAATTCTTAGAAATAATATTCGTTATTTTCAGTATCATCTTTTCAAATGTCTTTGCGGCCGGATGCACTTAAATTAAGGCGTAACGTCGTAAAAATGCTTGTTGCATGTGTATCCGTCTACTTTATCTGTTATTCTCCAATTCAGGCAATTTTCCTATCAAAGTAAGCTTGCCCTACTCAAATAATTCCCGAAAATTTGATCAAATTCAAGATTTTCTGGGTTTGGAATATATAAAATCCTTCAATGTTCAAAGATCTCTTATATTTCTTATATTATTTTATCATAACTAACCGAAACATACAGTAATTTTATAACAGTTCAATTTTATAACAATTTTATCAAATTTTTACAAATGTGACTTGGACGAAACATGCATTCCTTGTTTGTTGAGAACAAATTATCAGAGATATTTTCAAAAAAATAATTGATAAATAATTTTGTAGTTCAAATTTTATGTTTTATATTCCACTTGCAGAGCACTATTCGATATACACATTAGTCCAGCGTATGAGTTCATTCTACTGATGAACGCCTTTGCTTTGACATGCAGCGCATGCAATCCTCTACTTTATACTTTGTTCTCGAAGAAATTTCGATCTCGCATGACAAAGATCTTTCAGTGTTTCCAAGCACCGATTGGAGAAAAACCAAACGATTTCTCGAATTCAGTATCCAAGGTTATTCACTATTTTAAACGAATGCAATAAATTATTTATTTTCAATATTTTTAATAGCAATTTGCACGGAATTGTTTGGAATTAAAATTGGAATTTGGTAATTTGTCATATGGCAATACTTCAAACTTCCTTGATGGCAGATTTTAAGAAAAAACATTAGCATTTTTGTCGTCTCAGCTCAAATTTAATTTTTCATAAATTTCTAATTAAATTATATTTGTTATATTTATTTTAAGGATTATTTAGAAAGCGTATTTTGAATTTTTCCTATAATGAATTTTAAAAATTCTTAAAAAATTGAAAGAATAAGGAAGAAAAGTTAAAAATAGTGAATTAATCTGAATTGATCAATAGTTGTCGTAATACATCGTAAATTCAATTATTTTAATTAGGAACTAATTCCTAATTTTTATACTTTAAAGTATACTTTAAATCGTTAAAACTCGAGGAATCGATTGAGACGGATGGAAGAGTCGGGTATTTCTTTAAATAAACATGCTCTGAGGGGTTTGGTGCGAGAAAAAGGTCGAGGATCTCATTCGCTCTCCATTCTAAATCAGTTCCTTGACAATTATCACCTAGCGAATCGTTTAAAGAGATGAATAGTTCAGAAAGCATCAATTTGTAAATTTTTGCCATCATTTATTGCACAAAAGATAGAATAAAAATAAAAATAAGGAAAAAAGAAAAGCTAAAGCGATAAAATAAAAAAATTTATCCTTTTGTTTCAGTTACTGATAAGTTATCCTCGTGAAAAACGAATCAATGCACATATCACAATGGTCACTGGATGCGCAGATCAATGTAGGTCTATCAAGGTATTCATTTTATCCGATCGAATAAAGCGATGCGAATCTTAGCTGCTCCTAAGTTATTGCAGATTTGTATCAGATTTTTTCATTCTCTGAGAGAACGAAAATTATCTCGTTTACTTCCTCAGCCTTTATTTTTACAGAAATGGCAAATTCGTGCGTAATTCGGTTTATTCTCTCCTAAATGACCTTAAGCAGTAGTAATCGGATAATTACTTTACAGCTTGCTAAGTCTCGATCGTTAATTAATGAACGTGACCGCCGGCGAACCATCGAATATGAAAAGAGGAAAGAACAAAGCTTTAATTTCGCTAATAATTTTTGAATTCTGAATAATATTTTGCCTGTATAGTACTGTTTGCTCAAACTGTTCTACTGCAATACAGTTGTTTAAAACTTTTTTATTTCTTTGTAATTCATTGCAATAGACTAAATTTTAAATTAAAATTTGGTTTTTTAAAAATAAAACCAAAATTTCTAAATATATGTGAAATCTTTGGCATTAAATGGTTTTATTGGGCAAAGTTTAGATCAAAATCAATTGCAAAATTATCCAAAATTGTCAAGGTTATGCCAATACAACGTGGTGAAATTATTTTATATCACCCTGATGGTATATAATATATCGCTCTGGTAAAATCCCAATAGTAATTATTTTTAATAATTAATTATTTTTAATATATTTATATCTTTGTGGTTGAAACTTTTCTTGGTTTTCTGTTTTCTAATGTGCATCTAATTTTAAGGGTCTGGAAAACTGAGATAAGCAAGCAAGTTTTCAAAGGTCTCGCTCAAGGAAATTTCCCTAAAATTATAATATTTTGGACAATCTAATTTGACATAACCATACAGAATTTTATGTATAATGAAATCTTGCATAATTCGAAGAAATGAGTGGAGCTTGTATAGTTGTATAGTTGAAGTTGTGCTTTATAACTGAGATTACTATTATGAGAACTGAGAGATACAAAGCATTTTTGAAATTACTAGTATTCCGGGATTTTTCCGTTGGAACTGCTTTAGGAATCCCCTGAAATTTGCTATCATTTTATTATATAGATCAAAAGGATTGTGCGTTATATGGATAGATATGACCATGCATATTTATCTTCATTGCCGTTTGACATTTTATCCTGAAAACTTATTGGAGGAGCATTCGATTGATTCATGGTAGAACAAAAATAGACGAAAAAAAATATCACTTAAAATACTACGTTAGTTCTAGTGAAATAAGCCTTTACGACAATCTATTTTGAGTGGTCCAAAAGTTTGACTTGACTTTTTCATTCGCACCATTTTTTTCTCCGTTAATATTGTGCTACCTACCATTTAAGCAAAGGAAACAAAAAAAATTGTTTGCATCACAGCTTATTTCGAGACAATAGAAATTTCGCAGCAAAGTATCCTTTTTTTTGCTCATAGATGTGCGTGAATAAAACCTTCCTGTCCGTATAACATAAATTATGAATTTGTTATTTCATAAAGCTGGTTGGTTTTCACATTATTGGAAAACTATTTAAAAAGGCGAAAAAATTTTTACTAATTCCATTAACTTTTATAGAAGCACGGTGGTTTCGAATTTTCTACAGAATTTTTAAATTTGAATACGAATAATACAATATCAGTATAACTCAAACTATTAACACTGCGGGTTTTTCATTGGAACCAATAGGCTATTCCTTTGAAAAAATATTCCTCAGTCTTGATATTTAACTTACTCCAAAGGATTTTGCTTCTTATTCATTCATTTAAAAATTTGATGAAATAAAAGAAAGTTATCGAAAATCGCTTTCAAAGTTTTAAAAAAATTATAAATAATGGTTATTTTTTAATGGAATCATATAAAACGGAAAAAGCATCGGTTTAGGATTCGAATTTGATCCAATAATTCGGTTCGACTGATATTTCAATGATCCAAAGACTTCCACATAATATAATTTTGAGAGTGGCAAGTTATTTGAGCCTAAAAGATCGAGCAAGGCTCTGTTTGCTCAATTCTGAATTCAATAAAATATTCCACTATGTATGTAACGTTTGTGCAAATTATAAGTTATCAGTAGTTAATCAGTAGTTGATAAAGACATATTAAACTATAAAATCATTATAGTCTACGCATAATTTTTGAAAAAAGTGTCTCAATATTCGTGCATTTTAAAATAAATCTTTAAATTTTTAGTGTAAATGAACTGCCTCGTAATACTCTCTCCAGCGCTTCAATTATTTAAATAATCTTCTATAATGAATCAATCATATTTATTTTGAATTAAACTAACAGCAATATAAACTTAATATAAACTTTAGAATACATAAATTTTATGAAAGCAGCGCCGATTTCTTTTCAAATTGAATAAAATTTGAATTTAGTGGAACGATATTACTTTTGTTTTGGCTCATAAAACTGGCCTTACAGTGGCTTCAAATCGAAGAATATACACGGCCTTTGAAGATAGGCTCAGACAGCAGCAATCAAATGAACAAACTGTTAATTTAATAATTTATTTCTTTAAGAAAAAATCGTCAAATTAGCAAAATACTAATAAAAGGATAAACTATAAACAATTAGGCAAAAAACTCAAAAATGCTATACAAGTGACAATGGATTGAGAAAGTGTTTAGGCTAATGGTTTCTTTTTAAAATTGTGCAGTAATGGTGCAGCATCGGTAAGGAATTAATTAAGTACGACAATTCGTGCTGCTAATAAAAAAATTAGAAGAGATCGCTTTAGTCTCTACAAAAAGGTTTTCAACGTACCTCTAATCTATTTACCTCTGTGAATCACTAAATTTCGCAGAATTTCGTACAATCCTGATTGTGTTTTATATAAATTTGTCCATTTTCCCTTTCTTTAGGTCAACATATTTGGTTGTATGCTAAAAAGAGCGCCGTTTGTTCGTGAACTCGTGGTCAGCAACGTCGAACATCTTCGAGCAGCGCCACTTTCAGTTTTAAGATCGTTGAAAAACGTCGAAAATTTGACTCTATCTTGCGAATTATTCGAACGGTATTTTTTATATAAAACAGCTAATCGGCCAATAATTTAGTTTTAAAAATTTTAATTAGTCGCATTTATTGCATTTGAATATAGCAAAATGTTAAATTACAAAAAATTTAGCGCAAATAAAAGAATAGAATTTGATAAAATTTGTAGTTGTTGCATTTTTATTTATATCTAAAAATTTACTGGGATTTTCTAAAATTTCACTTCCCTATATGTGTAAAAAATAAATATGAATAGATGAATAAAGAATTTTGTACGATATGCAATGAAATACAATTGCAGGAATGAAGAATTCGATTCAGAAATTATGGCAATATTTTCGAATGAAAAATTAACGACTGTTAAAATTTTGCAAAGGTATAACAAAGGTTGTAATGCCTATAATGTTTTTGATACTCGGCACGTTTCGTATTTAAAATCGCCTTCCATAGAAACGATCAAGTTTCAGGTTAGTAAAATAACAAGGAATAAATGCAATGTGCGAAAAAACCGTGGAATTTAGGGAATTTCGTGAAAAAATAAGCCTTAGTATTTCTCTTAGAATTTTGAATATAGCAAAATGTTAATGTGAAATCAGGATCGGTCAGTAATTCCAGCGGCTTTTCTCGAAAATCCACCTGTCCATTCTGAGTTAATCATGTGAATCATACAGAAAAGGTAATAGTGATTAAAAACGAAAAATTAATCACTAGTCATCACTAGTTACCGTTAGTTTTTTTTCTAGGGAGTATCCGTGACTCCTAATGCTTTAAGAGAACTCGCAAATAAATATTCAAAATCGCTTAAAGAACTCGACTTGATCGGTTGCCTCGTTCATTCTCCAGATGCGATTTCATATTTGGAATCGCTGAGTAGTTTATTTTTTCATTGCAATTTTTTCACTCTTTCTACAGCCATCACAATTTCTATTTTGGCTCTCTCTATTGGCTAATAGGATAAACCCTTCTCGTTAGAGGGAGTGGAGTATAGAAAAAGGTAAATGCGGGCATTTATTATCACCGTATCAATTTCGCTCGTAATGGCAAGGCTCATTCTCGTTGAGACAGAGGTATTTAATTTCTTACTCGAAGCAGCATACCATTATGCAATTCTATTCCACTGATAAATAAAATTTGAAGCTTCATCCAAGTGTTGAATGAATGCTCTCACTCCAGTTACTGGCTGACTTTAATATTTAATATTTACTTGCGCGGCTCAAAAATAAAATCGCAAATGACGGATAGAAAAGTAAAACATATAAGAATTCTAATGTAAGAAGGGATAAGAGAAACTCCTTTCCGGAATGCGAACATTATAACAGTTTCAGGAAAAATGGAGTCACTTATCAAATTATCATTGCCTCCATCGTTATTCGCTTTAAGCGCGTGGCCAACAAGCGGCAAACTTCGAATTATAAGCGAGTTTAACATTAAATATTTATCACTATATGTATTCGAATTTGAAGCCGTCGAGTTTCGTTATTTCATGCGTGAAATTTTGCCAAAAACTTTAAAAGAGCTACACTTTCACGATGATACACGTCGAATTGCGAGAGAACTCAAGAATGCTGCTTATGAACAAATTCACTTCAAAGTTGGTGCTCTAACTATGCCTTATTAGTCGCTCTACTTAGCCAATTTCATCATTCACCGGCAATTATCATTTAAGAGAAAAAAGCAGTTTGGATTTGGAAGCTTTAAATATTTAAATGTGAGCTTGAAAGGATAAATGTTTCTAGATAGTCTTCTGTACGTTGGATAATGTATTAATTGATGAAAACTGGATGCATGGGCGCTCTGAATTATTGTTCCATATGGTATGGAGTCCACCCTACAAGCATTGTCGCACCGAATTTCCCACCGCAGTGAGTTATTTATTAGAATGTTCGAATGAAAACTGAAAATAGCTGAAAATTTGAAAGCCTTGGTGCATATTAATCGACTTAAATTGACGAAAATATCCATTTTCAAACTGATTGATTAATTATTTAATTTGAAAAGACAAGAAGCTTCATAAAATTCATTAGAAATAAAAAAAGGAAAAATGCAAAAAATATATTTCTCCCAGAAAAAGGGCCAATTTAACAAATAATTCATCTGGTTTCACTGGCCAATATAAAGATTAATTTTTTTGGTTTCATTGGCCAATTTAAGGGTTAATTTATCTGAGCACATTAAATCAAATCAGATCAAAATCCTCATACATCTAAGTTACTTCTATGAAATATATATAAATAAAATCATTTTCTAATAAGCAAAATTTTAAAGGTTCCTGGATGGTTTTGTTTTCTTAGTGAAATGTTTGATACTGCGACTGAAATAACTGAACATACAGCAAGAGATGATGAGGACGATACCACGGACCAAAATTTAAACATAAATGTTAATAGAGGCGCAGCTGTGCAAGATCCAGCTGAAATATTAATAGCCGCTCTAGCAGGTGAGACAATACTAATTTTTTTTAATTCCTTAGAATCTTACCAAGCAATTTCTATTTTAGATGAATAATTCCAGGTTTCCTGCAGAATGTGGGGAACCAGCTGCAAAATCAACTGCAAGAAGATAATCAAGACATACAAAATCCAAATCTCAATTCGGATAGAGGTGAGCCATACTGGATTGTTCGCACTGTACCAGTGAAAAATCAATTCTATCTTTGATGTTTTTATATCGGCAAATTTTTGATTAGTAGATTACAAGCTGACTTTGATTAATTTATCACAAATTATCACAACAACCATCAAAACAACAAATTTTTTTGCATTATAAATGCCTTCATGTAATATTGAATGAAAGCTTTTAATGACGCTATTTTCTAGTAAATATTCCGCGATCTTTACATGGCGACGCAAGAATCCTATTTCCACGAAGATCGAACTTTCATCGTTCATTATCATTTAATCAAACAGATCATTCTACATTGCCGTCTACAACTCACTGGCAATGCAATATTCAATATACCTTCGCCCTACTTTTTTTTACTTACTTAACTTATACAAAAATTTTATTGGGTAAAGTACAGGATGTTTCACTGTTTCAACTTCAGCAATCTGCTTCTGCCACTCGTAGAAATAAATCGGCTATTCGGGTGATGTGATGCTGGAAATCTACTTATCTTTCTATTTCCAATCGGTTCTCTGATAAAATTTCTTCATCCTACGAACAGCCAGTGCAGCCCACATTATCCAAAAATGATCACCACTAACTTTTCTATTTTACCTCAACAATTCAAAATGAAAATAAACTTTTATATTTACAACTTGTATAAAAATAAAAAGGACTTTCCTCTCCCCTCTTCAAGCATTTTTTCTCAAAATATTAAAAACTTCAAATTTAGGCAGCAACAATCATCGATGAACTCCGCAACAATTTCTTTGGATCAGTCCTCGACAATTGCTGCAAATACACCTGCGATAACCATTTCCAGAAATCGAAGTGATTTATCGGATTCACAAACTGAAACAAATTCAACGAATGATGAAGGACCATTAACCGATGATGAGAATTCAGATTCGATTTAGCATTTATTTCTAGGCTTCGACTACTTAAAAAAGTTCATATAACACATAGCTCATTGAGTTGTAAAATGAAAAAATAAACGACAAATTAAATTAAACGAAACCCGATTCTATTGAAATGAAATGCAAAGCTTAACGATTGTTCCCATAAAATAAGTTTAGAATTAGACTTTTAAAAGCGAATAGCATAAATTAATAAATATTCCATCATAACGAACAATAAATTACAATTTTTATTGAATGGCCGTACATTCAATATTATGCATTTTAGAAAAATAACCGAACGCAAAAAACCAAATCATCGCGCCTAAAAAATTCATATCCAAAAACATTGGGAATCTCATTAATGTATTTTAAAATTAAAATTTGGCTTAGTAGGTTAGCTCCGCTGGATATTACCAGTTAAAATCTCCGCAGATTGGGTTGTTAAAAGAATTCAACAAAAGCATTCAGTACTATAGCGAACAAGAAAAGCAAAAGAGGACTTTAATGAATTTAGTATATCTTAGGGAACGAATAAAAATTTTCTCCTAATTTTTTCTAATAAGGCATTTGCTTCTTCATCCGAAAAATCCGATTTTTCGAAAAATCTATATATACAAAGATAAAGCATGAAATCATTCACACACATAGACCATGCTTCGTGATAATACAATTAATTTGTGATATCAATAATACTGAGGGCATAGTAAATATGGTAATACGGTACCGAAAAAATATAGATGATTGGTATAATACATTTCCAAGGAAAACCAAAATATATAGAATAAAGACAATAAGTCAAGCCAAGATAAACCACTGAATTCCAACAATTCCGAATATAAATTTTAAAAAAATTTTTATAACTCATGGAAAAATAATCAAAAATAAAAATTTTCTAAGCGGGAATCAAGATTTTTGACAAATTTTTTTAAAATTTCTGAATTATGCAAATATATAAGGAAATAATTATGACACTTAAGATGGACTAGCACAATAAGCATAGAAAATATATGGGCAAAGCATAAAAAAATACAATTTTATATACATTAAGTAAAAAATTTTCAATATTTAATGTTTTAGCCTAACAATCTCTCATAGCTACGTCTCGAGGTGAATGTCGAGGCAAAATGTGAAAAATTCTCTTGAACCCTGATCGGACATTTAAATTTTTTTTACAAACCTTTACAGATTTTAATAACCAGATTAGGGAACGTGTAAAGTGAACGGTAACGTGTAAAGTAATGTGAAAGTGTTTATCTAATAAATAATATGATTTGCAAATTCTTACAAATAGACAATAATAGATTTGCAAATTCAGTATACCGCGCGGAATAAATAAAAATAAAAAATAATAATAAAGATGATAATGACGAATCATAAAATCGAACGAAATCCAGACATGACCAGATGTCAATATGGCTCCAACTCGAGCTCATCATCCGCCTTTTTCCTTTCTTTCGTATTACACCCAAAGAAAAATAATAACAAGTTCAATTTATTATATTGTGCATTGCACCAGAAAATGAAAAAATCTAGTTTAAAATATCTTATAATAACTTACAACTCGATGAAGTTTATAAAAATGAAAAATTACGCAAAAAAAGCAAAAATTTGGAAGAATTAGAAAAAAAATAAATACACAAAATTGGCAGGCGCCATAAAAATTTCTTTCCACAATGAACCAAAAAATAACAGCATAACTAAGACCGTGGTGACACATTGATATTTGAAAGAGATGACATTGTTCGCATTGGAGGCACTGGACTACTTGGTGCGTGCATTGGGCTGTCCTTGAATCCTTCTTTAAAGAAAAAGCGGAAACTGAAAATATATGCAAACTATATGAAAATATATGCAAACTTCTATTACATAAAAAGTAGAAAATTTGCTGAGCAAATTTTATAAATAGTAAAAATTACGATAAAAGTGGTGAACAGTAATAAATATTGTAATGAGTAACACCTACTTTGGAACTTCATTCACGAAAATACTAAATACATTAACTATCGAGTTACGCGAAATACAGGAATTTCCTTTCAAATAACTAACAATTTTCTAACTCCACTATCTTTTCTTTCGTATTTCCATGGACGCAATTTTTCTTCGGGTTCTTTGTTAATTGGACCATAAACTGTGCATTCATCAGAATTGGAGCTTCTAAAAAAGAAAAATGAAAAGTGCAAAAAAGCAAATCTACATGTACTGAAAAAAATTTCCCAAGAATTTTTCATAATCTAAGAAAAAATTTTTCTTTAATAGTATCTCTGATCTGGCTAATTCCACTGACTATAAAACTGACTATAAAAAATTTTTCTTTAATAGTATCTCTGATCTGGCTAATTCCACTGACTATAAAACTTTTTCACTAAAGAATCACTTGGTACTCTACTTCTATATTATATGATTCCTTGGCAAAATAATAATGATTAATGATAAGAGCTTTTAGACACCAAATGAATTTTTCATTTATAAAGTAACTTTTAAATTTTGCTCGGATGAGGAATTAAACGTTGTTCATTCCCAGACAATGTAAATACAGTACCGGTGTGAATTCAACTGAAAAAGAACGAGCAAAAAAGAAAAAATTTTTAAAAATTTTTTAAGAGAACACTGATAACCTGGTTTCAAACAACAGATCCTTATTCGTCTCACTACTACTGGAACTACTACTTTTTGGTCGCAACTGTTCAAGCTCCTCTTCTAATTCCATCACTTTACCTTTAAGTAAATTCTTTTCCTGTAAAACTTCCCGAAGCTCAGCTAATGTGAACTTTGGAGCATTTTCGCCATCTTCCTAAAGAAATTAAATCAAATAAATGTGAAGAATTCTAAATATCAATTAAATTAAAATTAAATTAAAATTAAAATAAAATAGAATAAATAATATAGAAATAGAGTATAAATAAAATAAAAAAGCAAAATCATTACAGCCATACATTTAAGAAAAAATGATGAAAACAAAAAATTTCCGATTTGAAACTGATTCCTGAAATATTTTAAAAAATATTACTAACCATTTGATATTGTTGAAGATCTTTACATTGTCGAGTGGCATCTTTGAAAAGTTTAGTCAGCTTAATATTAGATTCTTCTGTAAGTTGCAATCGTTTTATAATATCACTTTTTTCTTCCACAAGCATTCGCCCTTGTTTCTGCAGAGAAGCATTCTTTCGTAACAATTCCTCATTTTGCCTTATCAATTTTTCAATGTTATTATGCAGCTGAAAAAAAAGTTAAATTGTAAATTATAATTTGTCCAGTTGAATAATATAAAAATGCAAAAGCAAATTGAAAATACAAATTTTACTAAATATATAAAGTACAAAATGAAATTTTTCACTATTGTCCCATAAATCATCTATTTCCTTCCTATAGTTTTCTTCATAAATATAAAAAATAATCTAACAATTTAGTTAATTAATCAACTACGTTAGTATTACTGCAGTGATCTTCTTTATTTTGGCTAGTTTTATTTTGGCTATTATTTATTTTTATTTTGGCTATATTTAAATGAACAAAATATGAAATTAATGTTGGGATAGATAAATTCTCTGATAAAAAAAAAATATAATTTCAAGCGAAATATGTTTACATTTTCCACTTCACAAGAATATGTATCAATATCCTTTTGCAATTCTTTGATTTGTTCCTTTTGTTTATTTGATAATTCACGAAGCTCGAGCATTACATTTAAATCTTCGTCACGAAGAGCTAAAAATTATCTTAGTAACATTAACATATGAAGAAATGATAAAAAAATATAAATTATTTTCAGTTTACTATACTAAATAAGCAAGAATTTAAAACAAATAATTTTGAGCAGAACTAGCACAATATGAGCAACTCACTTTATAACTATTTAAACAAAAGGAAAAACAGGAAATCCAAAAGCACTCCATTTTATGGAAAATGAAGAAAAATAACAATACAACAATAACAATAAATATAACAATAACAATAAATTTACAATATAACAATATATATAACAATAAATTTTAGGCAACGAATACCTCCTGGCAAAGTTGGACTATTAGCGTGAGAAGACAATTCACTTAAATGCCTATTTTCTAATTGCAAATTCTTCACCATTGTCCATAAATCATCTATTTCCTTCCTATAGTTTTCTTCAATTGCTTCAAGTTCCTACAAATCCCATGAATATATTAGATATGTTAATATATTAAATATATTAATATATATTAAATATATAATATGTTAATATACATATATATATATATACATATAATATTAAAAATAAATTATAGAATGGGGAACTTTGAATTCAAATTATCGACTGCGAATTAATAACGTAACGGATGGATTCTAAAAATATTTAAACAAAAGGAAAAACAGGAAATCCAAAAGCACTCCATTTTATTGAAAATGAAGAAAAAATAATTATATAACAGTAAATTTTAGGAAACGAATACCTCCTGGCAAAATTGGACTATTAGCGTGAGAAGACAATTCACTTAAATGCCTATTTTCTTAGGGATAGGGATAAAGGGATAGAGACTGCTGATATTATTATTCGAATTAAATTAGTTTCATTCACCAGCTAATTAATTCCTAGATACTTGATAACTTTTTGCGAATGACTAAACCATTAGTATTAGTATAAAAAAGACAAAGTTAATCGTAAAAGTAAAAAAAAAAAAGTCCAGTTAAAAAAAGTCCTTCTAAAATTTTTGCGAAGTTTTTAGAGAAAGTTTTAACAAATTATTCGATAAATGAAGGTAAAATACTTTCATTTACAAAAGTAAAGACTATAAATAATCAAAAAAATGATAAATAAAAACCATTTCAAATTTTAGTCGATCTTGTTGTTTTAAATATTTGTCATTTTCTAGTCGCTCAACAGCCTTTTTAAGTGATATAATTTCTTCGTTTTCTTTTTCATTATTGTTTGCTAATGCTTCAAGAGTTTCTAAAGCTGATATTACCTGAAAATGTGAATGGGTTTACTTTCAGGCCCTAAGAAATCATAAATTCATAAATAAAGCTGAAAGCAAATAAATATTGTGATACTGAACGTCTTAAATAATAATAACCAGATTTAGTTAGAAGAAAAAAATTTGCCCTACAAATCGCTTTATGTGTCGCCAATGCATGTTCTCTATAAGCAATAAAGCTTATGTAGTTTAGGTAAAAAATTTAAGTTAAGGCCATAATAATTTAATAAAAGACAAAAGCCTGATAAAATCCTATAAAAACAAAGTAAATCTGATTCTTAATTCTTTTAATTTAATTTTTAAATCTGGTTATTTAATTTAATTTAATTTTTTTCTAATTCTATATGAATTAAAATATATAATTTAAATATAAAGCGGCTACCGTCCAAGTAATAAGTAAAGTAGAACATTTTATTTAAGTGATATATCAGATTTATTTTGGAAAAACTTTAAAATTTTGTAAAGAAAAGATGGTCTAATGGTCGCCAAACTGATACCAATTTATAGTAAAAATTTTCCACTGCTTATTCTACAGTTTCACAGGTTTATTCCTACTGCAACTATGGTATCCAATATATCAAAGAAAGGATTTGTGTATTTAGGATATAAAAACGATAGTGACTTAACTAATGAAAAATCCCAAAGGCAAAGAATATTACTGAATAAGTCTGATCGTAAAGACGACTTGTGATATTCCTGGTAAACATTTTATATTCCAATGCTACCACTGTGCGAGCAAATAAAAAAATTGCTGGACAAATAAATAAAAGCACATCGTTTCCGGCACTTTTCTTATATCGCAGGCGTCGTGAGTTTTAATAATCTTCACTTTTTTCTCTTTCACCCTCACCTCATTCTTGCAGGAATTTTTTACTTGATAATTGCTACGCTATTCGCTCACTTACAAAAAACAACGCCACTAAACCAGTGACAATGCAAAACAACTTAAAAGTGTCGAGAACAACGATAATAGCTTGAAAATAACCTTTGGCATAATTTGTCGAACACTGTCACTGCCGAATAAATCAATGATTCGCTCGAAGTCTTTGCCAATCGATGCGGCCAAATCGTAAACGTCAACAACGGTTATGTGTCTCGAAGGACTTTGTGAGGGCGATCGATTAGACATTATTTCAGCAAACCAGTCGAATTCTTTAGGCGTAATTCCCTTCGAAATATAAAAATAATTATTGTGAAATACTGAGTGATTAAAAAAATTCATTCGATTTGCTTGACAAATAGCGAAAAAATAAAATTCAAAAATAGCGAAAATAACTTTAATTTTAAAAAAGAAAATCTTAGCAGCAATTTTTAACGAAAAAATACGAATATAGTTTGTAAATTTTAATAAATTAGCTTCTTAAATAGACATTTCTAAAATTTTTTCAGCAAATTTAGAATAAATCTCCTAAACAATTATTGGAAAAAAAAGCTTTTATCTCCATAAAACCTATTTGAACCGTCGAATCTGACTGTTAGTAAGCCAAAAGCTTGGTAAAAATATTACGGCCCCGAAGTTCAGTTGGTAAAACACAGCCCGTGGGAAAATTTATGAATTTGGATTTTTCTTATCTTAAAATTTTTATTTTTATTTATTCTTTGAGTCGTGATTTCATATTACCTTAGTATTTCTATTTTACTTTCATTTCGCCATCTATGCTTTATAAACGGTTTTTCGCCGTAAAAATAGCAAAAAACGGCGAAGATGAGCGCGAACTTGGAAGGAATCGAGCTTATAAGTCGACTCAAATTACTCCCTGTCAAAATCCCTTCTGATTCCATTGCTCATTTTTCTCTATAACTCATTTCACCTCTAAAGTACCACTCTAATATGTCAGTAATATTGCATTGGTATCCTCAAAACTCAGCTAGGTTCTCTTAATATTCCATCAAACCTCGCTTTACTATGGCTTTGCAGAATACACGAATATGAGTATTGGTGAATTAGAGAAATTTTTGATGCAGTAAATGTAATATATAAATAGTTCTTCAGCAATAGAAGTACAGGTGAGACGCCAGCATCGCCCGGACTGGTTCTTGGGCAGGTTTGGTCCTGCTGGGAATTTTAGCATTGGCGCACCGAACTGAGCACCAACCCTCTGAGCCATTCTACTCTCTTTTGATTTCCTCTATTAGGCGTCAGCGCAACCGACAGAGGTCACAGCGGAAAAATCGAAATAATTTCTATCAGAGGTGTCAACCCGCCGCCTAAGGGCCATGTGTGACCGCTGAAATTCAGTTATGTGAAAACCCGAGAACTCAATGAGAACTTTCAGCCGAACCGGATTGTTGCATTGATTTTAGAAAAATAAGGTTAAATATAAAAATATGAAAAATAAATGAAGTTTTTGACTAATTTCTTCCATTTTTATTTTTAATTATGTTATTTTAAATGATTTAAATAATTTCTCTTTACTCAGTACGAAAGCCAAAAGTTTGGATACCTCTAATTCTGATGGATTAAATGAAATTTAATATCGAAAAAATTCTGCGGAAGAAAAATTTAAGCGATTTAACGTTGATTTGAACGAAAGTCTATGACATCTGTGGCATCTGTGTCGTGAACATAACTTTATAAAAACGTTTGATTTCCACAAAATCTTCTCAATTATTTTCAACAATTCATCAAATCAGCAGTTTTCTCTTGTCGAAACTCGCCAGTAAACATCTTTTTTTAATCCCCTTAGATTATATCACTTCCATCATTTTATAAATAAATGACAAATGGCAAATTACCCTCTCCATTCAAAAATATTGCTTATCACTTATGAATCGAAAGAATCCACTCTCCCGAATCTCTTTATTAATGGTAACATAATTAGCCGAGTCTCGGATTTTGGCATAGTGATGGATGAAAATCTTGTCTTGATTTCGACCTTCGCTGCAGAACCGTAAGAAAAAAGTCCTCGAGAATACTAAATTTTATTTTTCGAGGTTTAAAGACATAAAACAAAGCTTTCTTACTGAAATTTCGAAATTAAACTTGAGCCAACTTAATGTGCCACTCACCCATTACCACTTAGAATAACGGTAATAGAAAGAGCATAGTGGGAAACACCGAAGCGCTGCACCAAGATGCGGATGAGAAACAATGTTTTTTCTGGAAGTATCGAGGAATAAGCCAAGATTTCTGGATTGGACGAGAGATTTTTTTCCAGTATGTGCAATAAATAGCTCTAATTATGATTCACTAATATAGTTTTGAAAATTTGGAATATATTATTTGGAACAAATAGATGAAATTTGGAATAATTTGGCTTAAAATCTGAAAATATTTATTTTATAACGAATTTAACGAAATTTATTCGAAAGAATAAATTAGCTTAAATTAAATAAATAAATTAATAAATAATAAATTACCATAAACAGATTCATATTATTTAACAATCACTTACTAACTTCATTATGCTTGTATTAAATAATATATTTTAATATATTTACAATATATTTTAATTCCTTCGTATTGAAAATATAAAAAATATAATTATTATATAATTATTTTAATATTCAAAGCACATTCAAAAAAATTTAATTATTTCTGAACTAAAAAAAAGTCACAGAAATATTTTAAAATTTAATTTAAATAAAATTTAGAAGAAGAAAAAAAAATATTTAGATGATAAGCTCAAATTGAAAGCCCAAAATGAAATTTCAACGATATTAAAAAAATAATAATTCGAACTAAAATTATTTTAGAAAAACCAAAAATAAAATATATTATTTGCGTGGACCTACTTTATTGATTTGTGAATTCTCGCTTAGTTCCACAGATGAAGCTAATTTGAGATATTTCTATATGCATTCGCTCTACTGTTTTATTTTCTTTATTTGTATAATTTCTCTAAAGGACTTCGAAAATATTTCAAATATTAAAATATTTTACAGTTATTTCCACATATGCGATATATTGTAAATTTTTAATTAGTTTCGTTTCGTTAGCCAAAATTTTGAATCAATTTTTTGATTTTAAAATTTTGAATCAAAAAAATTTTTATCCTATCTGTAAATGGAATTGTTGAATCCTCAAAACGAAATATATAAATTGAATACGAAAAAATATTAAAAATATTTTTATCGCTATAAAATCGGATATATTTATGTGCAAAATTTAAATATAAAATAATTACAAGGATTTATAAATATTTTAAAAAATTTTTATTTCATTTTTAATAAAATAATATTAATTTATTCGTCAAAAAATTGAAAATTTAGAAAGAATTTTAAAAATATTGACGAACTCAAATAACGGCATAAAATTAAAATGAACAAATGAAGAATGAGCGCTTCGATATCGAGATTAATGGCATTTTTTTGTCAGATTTGAATATTCGAGAAGAGCATAAAATGCGAATTGGTTTCTCTTTCTACGCTTTTTTTACGAGTTATACGAAAGCAATAAAAGAATAACTTCATGAAAATCAAAAATTTGGAGGCGAAAAAAACGATTTATTCGAATTTTTTGGAAAAAGATTAGCTAAAGGAAATGCTGAAAAAGTGGAAAAATTATTTAGAATTGCCGATCGGTCGTTCGTCGCCTATTGAATTATTGAATTATCTTAGCGAAGAAAGGATTTTTAACTGAAAAAAAATAATAAAATGTAATTTATTGCGAAATAAAAGAAAAGAAATCCGAGAAATTTATCAAAAAAATTATGTATTGTCGAGGAGAATTTATTCGTTGATATGACTCAGTTATAACAAAAAAATTACGAATGAATGGTGTAAAAATTTATAAATAAAAGATATTTTTGCATTAATCAATCGGTATTAGTCACCATTTTGCGTTGAAAATATTCGATTCACCTAGCAAAAATTCGATTTTCTACTTAATCAACTTCATTCATGCAAAATACTAAAATAATGCATGCATTCATTGATTGCATTCGCAGTTCGCGAATGACTTGGATTGGTTCGCGAGAAAAAAAGGTTTATTAATTGCCAATAATTATTATCTGTTTTAAGTTGAATGCTCAGCAAAAATTTGTTCAATTTCGAAAGATTAAAAATTATAAACCTATAAATATAATCTTAATGGCTCAGAGGGCTGCAGTTCTTGTTTCAGAGCGCTGGTGCGGCAGTTCTATTCTCAAAAGGATCGAATTTAATCTGTCTTTCAAAAATCCATGCTGGCGACCCACCTGTGGTCTTATCGACAAATGATTTCCTAACAAATTCGTCTGGTCCAATGAGCCAGGTGAACGATATTAATAGGAGATGGTGGGCAGTTTTGGAAAGAGAAAAAATTTAATAAGTTAAAAAAAGGGCTATCATGGTGCCAAATTCATGAACCTAGTTAAAGAAGAATAAAATCAATGATTATTCGACAAGCTAAGGCAATGCGATCAAAAATAATATAGAAATAATGAATGATAAAGGTAAATTTTCAAAAAATAGCTGTAAAAAAATAAATTCTAACAGTTATACAAATAAAAAAAAGCTAATTGAAGTTTGAGCCATCGATAAGCGTTTTTATCATTTTTATCATGTAAAAGTCGAAACATTAGCAAAAAAAATGGTATTAAATCATTTCGATAGATAATACATTTTTTTAAAAAAAACCCATTAATAAAAAATATTGTGGATTTTAGAACTTTAAGAATATAAAATAAAAGAAGTAATGATAAGAAAAGTAATGATAAAAGCTTGAAGTGATAAAAACAAATTGCAGTTTTTTAAAATTCTTATCGGAAAAATTATCATCACAGTAGCGGATAGAAGAAGCTGTCTGAAAAAATTTATTGAGGAATCAATTATTCGAGCCGTAAATCGAATATAATTAATTGAGAAAAAAGAGCCGGGAAGGATGATTATTGGCAAAATTAATGGCTTAAATGGAAATCAATTAAGACATCGGTCTTATAGACAACGCTTACTCTAAAGAAGTCTTATATGTTGATCTGTATTGGGAAATTTTGGCAGCTTTTATCGATCTGGACAAAGCCTGGTTATATCTTTTATTTATTTTGTTCATTTATGATAACACTGTGATAAAAAAGTGGTGCTAAGGATGACTTTAAAATTTTAAAAGACAATGATTTACTACAAAAAGAGAAGAAACAAAGAATATCGAATGGTTTATGGCACATAGTGATTGTTGTAATAATTTAAGCTCGCACCATTTCTGGTTTGGTTCACTCCGTTGTCTCATCGACTTACAAGAGGACCACTTGACGATAAAAGTACAGACAGCACCACCTGGATTTTTGATAGAAGACTGAATGATAGATTACAATAAACAAAAAATATCTGGGATAAGCTTCAGTGGTTGTTGCTGTGTAATAGTTGTTTCAAATCTATCAGTGAAATTGGAACAACTTGAATGAAATGGCTTTCCTTCGTAAGATGTTTATAAGATCCATTCATTTTCGCAGGCAAAAAAAGAGGATTAACTAAATTCCAGCGAAGATAACTCAAAAAATTGCTTTTTTTCAGTTCTAGAATTTTCTCAAAGAATAACAACATTCAATAATAATTTCATATCATCTAACATCTTCGACTTATTATCAATAATCAAGAAAAAGATAAGGTGCCTGAATAATATAAATTTGAAATGCTCCAAATGAAGTATTCCACTGGCTTGCCAGACCAGATAAATTTTGCCAAAGAATTATTTAGCAGTACAAGTGGATCACCACCAGGATTTTTGAAAGCCTTGTCTGGAGTGGAACTTCCTTATTTGGCAAATAAATACAATCTATAATTGCCAAAAATTAATGCTAATAGCAACGAATATTATTCGACAGATAAAAAAGATTGATAGGCAGAAAACATAAAAGAAAAGATGAATAATTTAAGGAGATTATTGTACTATATAATTCTATGCCAGTCTTAAGCCGATTTTAGGTGGTCGAAAACTACAGTACGGATAGAGCTCGAGCCTGTCATCTATAAGTCATAGCCCGCACAGGCTGCGCCCTGCAGCATCTCCCAAAAACGATGAACGGACGGACACATCAATATCGGAAAAATAAGGAAGAGCTGCCTCTCTCTCTGTTCGCCTCTCTCTCCAAAAAAGTAGTTTGACTAGCTGGTTTTTTAAAGATCGCTTTCAGTCACTGGGAATCCTATCGATAAGCCTTTCGGAGAGACAAACCTTGTTTTCTGGCAGATTGAAATTGAAAAGGTTAAAGCGAAAGATACAAACGACTTGTCAATTCGAAAGTTCATGTAAATATTTGAAAAAAATATTTTTATATACAAACATAAACCTTTAAAATTGGCGATTTTTTCATAAATAAATTCGACTTTATTTAAAATTTTAGAAAAATTTAATAAATGAAAATTAGCGAATAAAATTAACTAATTCGAAAAAGACGGGACGACGGTACCATGCGATATAATATTTCAACAATAACGGTAATAAATAATATTCTAAAATCTAATCAAAAATTACGATGCAAAATAATGCAAATATTATGGAATTAAGGAATTATAATGGCAATCAATTATGATGATAAGCTAACTGATAATCATGATGATAAGCTAACTGACTTTTCAATTTTTTAAAGTTTATGCCTGACGGAGAGCAGAATGCTCGAAAATAGCGACTATTAGGCTAATTACAGTTCCCATTTTCGTGCTAAACTGTAAAACATTGCGCATTACCGGTTTTTATGCGTCTGTTGTCAATTTTGATTTTAATTTTTACCGGCTAATAGTTTTAGAAAAATTTGTTTTTTTTGGATTACTGATAAACAACTCTCAGCGAAACAAGCTAACAAAGTTTGACTTCTTTAATTTTTCGTCTCTTAATAGTGCACACCATTCCTGGTAAAGCTGGTACCATTTAATGAAGCGTTTAGAAGTCTATCGGTCCAACTTTAGAGATAACAGAAGGTTCTTGCCGCAATCTAAACCCATACGTATGTATCTCAGTGAGTATTAAAAAATCCCGATCGATGCAGGTTGATTCGGTTTTAATGCCGTCTAACAATGGTTGCGAGGTGTGCATCAGTTCTTGGATTGTGTGATGATGAAAAATATGTTCTAATCAGACCAGTGACGATGCAGTTAGTGCATTTTAATGTACAACTATAAAATATACCTTGAGCAGGGATGGTGCAGTCGTTTGCCTGCTTCGAGCCATACCTCCCATCACATTAGCGAATTTGTCATTAGAAAATGATGGCGATTTTCAAGTGCACTAATAACCGATAGCCTATTAAATAGAAATGGTCAACGCTGATTACACTGATTACACTGCTTGTTAAATTCGCTTAACAACAAAAAAATTAAAAGTTTTCCTACAAGAAGAAAAAGCGAAAAACGACTAAGATATATTTTTTAATTAAATATTTGTAAATATTTATTAATTAAATGTAAAAATGAGCAAATACTGAGGACCTCGCATTGCACCGTCCAAATTCAGCGGTGAAGTGAGAGCATAATCTATTCAGTTAGTGGAATCAGTTGTTCCAGATATTTGCCCTGGTCATATCTGAAGCATAAAAAAAATCCAACAGATAGGTGATATCGATATATAGGTGATATTTGGGAGAGGACAAATGATGATCTCTTATCTGCTAATATCAGTAAGTGCCAAAGAAGTGCCGGCCTTGCCGCGTAAGTCATATAGAATGCATTGATATCTATTCTCCTTGTAAATTCTGATGTTATCCATTACCTTTGCAACTTCCGCCATCGCCACTCTACAGATTAAACAGATTTCCTGGATCCGTACAATGTCTCAAGAATACCAGCAAAAGCACGATTTGTCGACATTTTAACGAAGAAAGCCGAACTTTCCAAGTGGTTACGAAGTTTACCATTATGGATGTGGTTAGGATTTACCAAAATTGCCTAACTTCCAACTGCACTGTAGAAGTAAATTAATATTGCATTTGAAAAGATGGGGGGAGAGGGAGAGACGGTGGAAGAGAGGGGAAGGTTTGTTGGTCTGTTTTGAGCGAGGAGATCTCAGCCGTGGCAACATTATTGTGAGAAGTGGTCAAGAAAATAGATTTATCCGAACAATTTTCCCGAGATAAACTTTTTCAAAGAAGTTTTCCAGTGTTTATTATTTCCAAGGATTTTTAGCGACTGAAAATATTTTTTCTGTCGCTGTTGAAAGAAAAAATTCTTCTTATGTTTTTCTTTTGTTTCATTTATGTTTCTTTCTACTTTTATTTTATTTTTTTCCATTTTCTTCAAATATTTTTTAAATATTTTTAATTTTGATTTCATAATTTTCATATATTTTTTCCAATATTTTTGCAATATTTTTTAAAATAAAAATGTGTTATTAATTTATTTGATGACATTCGAAGTTTGTTTTATTTTCAGGTGAAATGGACATTTCTTGTTTAATATTTCTTTTAATTTTCTTGTCGAAATCATTAGGGTATTTAATAAACATCGACGCAAATGAAGAACAGTGTTTTTTCGATCGAGTCGTTTCTGGGACTAAAATGGGGCTAATGTTTGAAGTTGCTGAAGGCGGATTTCTTGATATCGACGTCAAGGTTTATTATTATTTATCCATAAATTTATTGGTGAAAGCGTCTTCAAACAAAAAAAAGCGTCTTCCCCTTTATGTTTTTATAATTTGCATTTGCAGCTGTGATATGACTATAAAATTATTGCGGCTTGGTGGCTTTAAGGGGTTATAAGATAGTCTGATGGAGTTGAAGTGGGAGGAAGTGGTTACTGTTGGGTTATGCAAGGGGTACAGTGGAATTTTATGAGTTGCGAGTTAAAAGTATTTACAGTGATGCTGAAAAGATTCCAGCATAATGGCCCAAAATAAATGTTGTCCAGTTCCTTCTGGAAATGTATGTACGTCCTCAAGCAAGAAATTTGTTTATAATAGTTTTCTTCATTATTTTCTTGTAATCTTTTAATAAAATTAGTATTAGCATATAATTAGTAATTATTCCATTAATTGATTAGAGATTTAATTGGATTTTTTATTTAATAATTTATTAAGGCAAAAATTATTTTATTTATGATTATTTTATTATTTTATTTTATTAAATTATTTTAAATTATTTTATTTTAACTATTTTATTTTTATTTTAATTATTTTAAATTATTTTACAGCTATAATTTTAATGATTAATAATCATGTAATAATTCACATTAAATATATATATATATATATACCATTAATGTAATAAATATATATATAATATACATATAATATTATATATATCATTAATAAATATAATTATTTTATATATATATTTTAATTTAATTATTTAGATAGCTGTATTATTTAAATTATGAGGTATGAAGGATTTTATTAAAGAATGTTTAAATTTGTAAAGAAGGATTATTACAGGTTATTGGTCCAGATGGAAAGGAAATTTATAAAGGTGAACGAGAAAGTTCTAGCAAATATACTTTTGCCGCACATATGGATGGAATTTACACATATTGCTTCGGTAATCAAATGTCAACAATGACTCCTAAAGTCGTTGTCTTTTCGATGGAAATAATCCCACCTGGGCATCCAGTTGAAGCGGCATCAGATAGTGGCAAAGGTTAATTTTTTGGCAAAGAATATCTGATGTGTTATGCATTTTTTTTGCAGATATGAATGAAGTAGAACATTTTTTTCTTATGTTTTGAAAAAGAAATTTAAAAAAAAAGTTTGCTTCAAAAATATCTTGAAATTTCGAATATTTAACAATTTTTTCTATTTTTTTAACTAACGAGAATTTTCATCATTAATTTTTTCAGTTGAAAGTAATAAACTAGAAGAAATGGTTCGCGAATTATCAACTGCTCTTATGTCCGTTAAACACGAACAGGAATACATGGAAATTCGAGAAAGAGTTCATCGAACTAGTTAGTTTTTAAAAATTTTTTTCATTTTTCTTCTTTTTAGAATCTAAGACTGAAGTTTTTAGTGGTTTTATAATTATAATGAATGATTTTAATCTAATTAATATTTTTTTATTACTTTTATTTACAGAAAAATTTCTTTCCAAATAGAAAAAAAGATTAACTAAGCAATAACTAAGCAATAAACTAAAATTTCCTAAATAAAGCTTCCTTTTCTAATTTTTCAAAATTTTTTTAATATTAAAAATGAAGAAAAATATTAATTTTTTAATTGGTTAGTTATTGATTACAGTTAATGAAAGCACAAATTCACGAGTAGTATTATGGGCCATATTTGAAGCTGTCATTCTTGTTTCAATGACCATTGGACAAATTTTTTATCTTAAACGATTTTTCGAAGTGCGGCGGGTTGTTTAAAGTGTCTTATCGAGTTGTTTCTCATTTTACTTAGCTTGAGATTTTTGAGAATTCGAGTAAAAATGGATTGAACTACTGAGATTTAAATTCTTAGGTTCAATTGCAAGTTTATTTCTTGCGTTCAGGTTCATGATTTAGAATTTGTTTTGTGGATTCAGTGATAAATATGATTTCCGAATGCTAGTAATGCTAGTGTATTTTAGGTTTTACCTCTCCAAAAAATTAATATGAATATCAATTTGTATTGCAAAAATCTGTATTTAAGTTATTGTCATTTTGATATTAATTTAATAATTATGCATAAGCTGCCTATTCAATCTTTGCTAATATATTTTAAATAATCGTCGTTTTTGCCTAATTTATTATTTTTTGTCTTTAAAGGGTTTTATGGACAAGGATATATTTTGTGATTTTGGTTAGACTTGTTCTGTTATTTTTATTTGTTGAAAATTTCTCAGAAAAAGAAGTCTCTATTTTTGTTTTAATCGAAAAAGTTATGTATGCTTATGTTATCAACGTTTTATCGTGTTAATATCACATCAATAGTTTTTTGGGAGAAAAAAGTTATCTATGGGACTATTCATTATCAGTTTGGCTATAATTCTTTAAGATCATATAAAATAAAATTCATATGGCTTGAAGCTGTCAATTTTGAATAAATGAGAAAATGATAAGGAAATATTGGAAAATGTGAATAAATCTTAATTTTCAATGAATATAATTCATATTGCGAGATTTAATTTAACTGTATACCTTATAATTATCAAAGATAAATTTTAGTATTTTCGAATTCGCTATAAAACGCCATAAAATAAATGATAATCACTGGTCAAAAAGAATCAATTTTTTTTCTTCGCATATAAAAATATCGTCAAAATCTAATGTGAAAAATGTGAGAGAAAAAAGCGTAAAATTCAAAGTTTTTTATATAATTTTTTCAGTGATGAATTGTTAACAAATTCTTTTGTAGTAATCAACTGAAATAACCATCGGTTGCACCTTTCGTTTATTTATTTAATTTATTCAATAAAGCAAAGCAAACAACGACGAATCCTTCGATATCGCTTAAATTATGGCAAATTGATGTTGCATTTTTTCTTTTTCACTCGATTTTACCTCGTTTGATTTCGAGAAATGTTTCGAATTTAGCATTCGTGACCGATCTATTGGTGAGTGGTGAACTGCCACTCCATTCGATGAGTTTTGTGTACACAAAGTTTCGAGAGGAAACTGGTCCTATTACAATTAAAGTTTAGTCCTCTGGGAATCTTAGTATAGATTTGCTCGTCAGGCAAATTATATATAAATTACGTATGTATATATATGTACTTCCTGTGGGTGATGTGCGTCTTCCTCAGCTTGGCTTTTCTCTTACTGGTCGGGGAGTTTTGCGTTTTCCTGATTTTAGCTCTTAGTAGTGCCTTCCTCTGCACCGAGATCTCTGATGTTATTCTGATTATTGAATTTATTGGAGCTGCTTTTCCTTTTCCAATTTAGGGGTCACGACTTCCGAATGGTCCTACCACCATTGCGACCATTTCGGCATTTATGTATGTATATTTACAAACAACCATGAGTTCTATTGTTTACTCTTCCTTAATTCATGTAGTATGTTGGCACTTCTATTTCAACAGTTGGTGGTTTCTTCTTAATAATCAGAACTGATCAAACGAGAAATTGTGAGTGATATTAAAGGAAGGAATTATCATAAAATAGCGATACATTCATTTTCCGTATTCTTCAAAAAGTTTAATCCACTATGCGGAAGAAAGACAAGGAATATTGTAAATTATTCTGTTTGGTTGGATAAAAGCAAAATTTTTTGCTATTCCTAGAAATGGATTAACAAAAATAATCGAAGAATAAAGACAACTTGTGTTGATATAATAAAAATGCAAAAAATGACAAAAATGTTTTTATATAAAAGTTTCTGTTTTAAATTTATTTTTTGGAAAGAATATGCTGTGGAAATGAAATAAAATTCAGTGAAAACTATGATGAATTTTAAAAAACTTCACAAAATTCAAAACTTGTAAAGAAAAGATATCATCAATATTAAATATTATCAAAATTTTATCGATTAGTAGCAATAGCATTGGGTTTTCCAGTTAATAACAAAACTAATTCAGGGAATAAGAAATATTTGATAATTCATATCTTTGATTATCATTTCAGATTGATAATTTAATAATTGATAATTTCTGATTAAATGGAAATTGATTTACTTTTCGTCTCTCTTATAAAATATTTTTTAAATGTAAGATATGTTGAATAGGAAAGAAATTTATGATCTGATTTGATCATTATTGTTCTAAATTCTGATGAATGAATGAGACCAGGAAGAGTGGATGATACCAAATTTTTAATTTCTGATTGTCTGGTAGAAGTAGTATTAAGCATAACGTAATAATTCCCCCGGGCGGTTTTGTCAATTTAATAAGACAGTAAGATGTTCGCTTCGCTGACTATGGCGCAATAATTTCCCCTGAGGCAATTTTAGCTATCGATGCAGTATTTGGATAAATAATTGAAAGCGGAACAATAGTTTCTCCTAGGTGCTTCCTACTGATTCAGAAAGAAGATTACTTGGCAATGCTGGAAGTCAGCTTATTTTAAATAAAAACAAGTGCTTATCACTCAACATTCTAAAAATACTCATTCCATTTCACTAGCTATGAGTATGATAAGAATTTTTGCCAGGGAGTGATTTCGTGATGGAAATAAGTAGTGGTTCGCCGGTATTATCCGAACTTTTTAATAACAGGTTTACTCTTGTTGGGACGAATCTATGCGCTGAGGACGATAATAGATAGAGCAACAACCAGTCGGCTATCCACTTCAACATCACTTTAACTTTTAGATTAAATGTTCTTACGATAAAATATATTCTTTCCAGGCGCTCTATTTATTTTGCTTCTCTTTTATCCCATTTCACTTCATAAGATTTGTAACGCATTGAGCAAGAATAGAATTTCCTAGAAAGGACTATTTTCTCTTATTAGATACATAATTATTATAGAAAACAGGTTGAATATCGCTCATATAAAATTTCATATTATAAAATACACTTTATAAAAACCAGTAGATTGTTATACAAATTGCAGTTAATACTTTTTAGAAAATTTCCAGTTCATTCGACAAATTTTATCATAATTTCAATGTTTGCCTTTCTTTCATTTACGTATATATCTTTATTCAACATTCTTATCATCTTAGTTATCTCTTATCAAGCACGAAATCCATTTCCTGTACAGTTAATCAAATATCAATGCTTAAGTTTGGTTCTTAATAATTCATCTCAGATTTGCGAAATCTTATAAACTCTTTTAAAAAACAAATTCTCTCTATAATTTAAAATTGATGCGGAAAAATTAGGTTTTATTTAATTTCGAATGAATCTATAAATCTTTAAATTTTGCTGCAAATTTTAGGATATTTAAGGAAAAAAAATTTACGAATTTACATTTTTTATTTCCTTATCATTTAAAAAACGTATGCCTAAACAAGTTATATAAAAAAAACTAGATCCATTTTTAAAATTAATAAAATAAGCAAAAATTTTTAATGATTGAAGGCCAATTGTGAATTTTTTGATTATTTTAATGCTCGATTCAAGGAGATTGACGCTATTGTGAATCAATAATGATCAGGCTTTTTGAAAGGATTTGAGGACCGGTCGATGAAATTTATCGCTGAACCTGTTTGCATAGAAATTCGCGGATCATTAAGGGCTCATTTCTCAACTCTGTTATCGCTAAGGTTTCTTTATTTATTGCAATTTTAATCAAAATGATAATAAATCTAATGAGATAAATCTTCTAATTGAATCATATATTACCCAGCTAATTATAAGTTTTTTGCGGAGCGCTTATTATGGATTTTAAATTAATAAAGCAATAATTTATCGAAATTGGAAATCGGCTCAAAAATTTAATTTTTCTTAAAATTTTATAAAACGAAGATTTGCCAAGGAAAGTGCAATAATAATTTTTACGCTAAGCGCATTTTTAGGCTTTCTGGATTGATATTTATGCTCTTTCATTTTTATTTATGAATACGGGATTCATACAAATTTTCAGAAATTTTGCTTCTTTTTGGTCCCAGATGCTTAGTGATTTCTTTTTATTCGCCGTCAGTGTGAGGCTCATTCATAGTTTCTCGCAGTTCTGAATTGTAAAAATAAGAAATTCAAAGTATCAAAAGAAGTTAAAATTTCAGGCAACATGAAATGCTCGATTATCTGTCATTCGCAGTATTTTGCAACACTTTTCAATCTTTTACTGATTTCAATTACAGGTAAGTAAGGGGAAATGTTTATTTTATTTCTTTTGGTAAATCATAGTTCCTTGAAAATTGCTCGAAAATATTAAAAAAAGAATAATTCGAAATTTAATATTAAGAAATTTTAAATTTTATCTTGGGGCTACTGACACAGCATGAAATTAACATAGCAATACTCATATCATAAAGGATTAGTCTGGTTTATTAGACCAATTAGTAAGAGCTTTGAGAAATTGAGCAGTGATGGTGCCAACAGATAATTGAAGCGATCCAAATTATTGTTCGTTAATTCGTATAATCTTTTAATCTATATTTCCACTTTATATTTCGACGATATCGTGGTCCGCCTGATGTTCTTTTGGTTTTCTTTATAATCTAAATTTTTTGGTGACAAAGAATTTTGTTAGTTAACCAACTCCAAATCAATTGTTTCTTTTATATTTCTTAGCCATTAATTATCGTTGGCTAATCGTTACTTAGTTCCGTTCAAATTTAATTGTCAAGGTCGAATGAAAGAAAATCGTAATCGTAATTTCATATTTTCGTTGAAAAATTTTTCAAAAGCTATGCGTTCTTTTCACAAACAAGTTGGATTTTAACGAAAAAAACTTGTTTAAAAAACTAGGAAAACTTTCCTTTCAAATGATAATTTTATATTAATTTTTCACTTAATTAAATAAAACTGTAGCATTTTTTGTCAATTTTCACTGCTTTTATATGCAAAAAACTATTTAAATTAAAATTAATGAATTTTCTTTAACGAAAAAATTTGAAAAAATTTATATGGGAAATTTTAAAGAGAAAATCGGAGAAAAAATTTCTAATTTTTGCAAAAATTAAAAATTTTTTCTGCAGTTTCTGAAATTGCTTTTCGTCATATTCGATCATTTCCGACATTTAACTTGCTCAACAATTTTTAGGTTTTGCCTTCAGCATTCGCCGAAATTATTTAACAAAATTTTACTGAAAAAATCTAATTTAATCTAATATATTTAAATTTATTACTTTATCCCGGGGCTACTGTTATACTGATAAATCTTTTTGTCATTATGCTTTTTTTGTGAACTGATCAGTTGAATTATAGAAAATTTTTTTTGAGTTAAGTTTAAGTCTTTAGTTTAGTTTAAATTTTTTTAAGTTTTTTAAATTTTTTTTAAAATTTTTTTTATTTTTTCTTTGAATTTTGAATTCCCTCTAAAAATGAATGTACCATATGTAGGCGTATTGTTTCGCGTTATTGCATAGTAACGGTATTGGATAGTTTATTTAGTATGAGAGCAATGAAGATCTACGGACTATGCGAAAATGCATAGAAAAATTGAGTAAACAAATCAAAAAGACTTTTCCTCTTTTATGTTGAAACATTTCAATGAATTGCCAGCGGGAATCGAGGTTTGAATTCGAATCCGCTGATGCACCACTCTTCTCGAGCAGCGGTATCATCTAATCGAGAAAAACAAAAGGGAAATAGACGGCTCAGTGGGTTACCAATTCGGAGCGCCTATGCTGAAGTTTTACTCACAACAGGAGTAAACCTGTCCAAAAATGCATTGCTGACGACTCACCCGTACTTCTATTACGAAGGCACTTCCTGGTATATTTGTCTAGTGCGACAAGCCAGAGCAGCGAGTTTAACAAGTATTGCTGAGTTCTTTTAAAAAAGAAAAAAATGGATTTTATCGAATTATATTTTTATTATAGGTATTTTGGCATCCATAAATGCACCAAGCGGATTGACAGACATCGATTTCATTAATGCAGAATTGCTCACAGACGGTATAAATTTTTTGAGCGGATTTCTTTAATAATCCGTTTAATCTTTCTTTTTGCACTAATCACCGCCTGAAAGGATATTTCTTCTTTAAAAAATCAAAATCATATGATAATAAATTTGCATAATAAATATTAATAAGTATAAGAATAAGTCTCTTCAAATAAATTATTTGTGAATTAGAATTATGGCCTGGAAGCACTTCACTTCGACTGGAGGAGGTGAATGGCTATCGATCGGATATACGTAGTCCATCACCGTGGAATAAACGCTATCGCCGAAATGGTCTTAGTCGACCGACAAAGCTTTGGCCTGGTGGCAAAATACCATATCTGATCTCGCCTCATTATACAGATCATGAACGTGCTTTATTAGCCAAAGCAGTCAAGCAAGTACATTAATAACTGACTATTTCAAGAACACATGAGTTACTTTAGACAACCATTGGAGACTCCTTCAAGGCATATTATAATTTTATTCTTAATTGATCGTTATTAGGGCTTCGAGAATTTCATTTTTTTCAGTTTTAATTTTGAAATTTTAATAAGAATAATCATTTAATAAAATTTTTATAATTTTATGATTATTTTATAAATTTAATTTTTTATAATTTTATAATTTTAATAATTTTATAATTTTATAAAATAACTATTCGATGAATTTTTAGTATCATGATAAAACTTGTGTCCGATTTGTACCAAGATCACCCAATGAAGGCGATTATCTTTTCATTGGTAAAGTTGACGGGTTGGTGACGAAAATTTATTTTCTTCGTTTTATTTTCAGTGATTCAATGTTAATATATTTTATCAAACCTGATTTTATTTTCCCTTTATACGCATATCATTTTTTTATGGGCAAAGCATTTCTAATAGCATTTTGAAGCATGGAAGCAATAGCAATTATATGAATTAACCAGAAATATTTATAAAACGCATAAAAAATATTTTTGGCCGACTAGATTACAATATATTAAATTATGTTCGTATTAATTAAAAGGATATTAAATTATATTAAATATTATTAAATTTATTAAGAATATTAAATTTCTTAATTACTATATTTTGTAGGTGTTTTTCTGAAGTGGGTCGAACAAGTGGTGTGCAAGTACTTTCACTTGACAATGGTTGTATGGAATATACGACAATAATTCATGAAATGATGCATGTCGTTGGATTCTATCACGAGCATGGTTCGCGAAACAACATTTTGTTCACCTACCTATCTTATTTTGATTTTTCGTATTTTAACATGGAACTTTTCAAATGTCGAAGGACACCTTAATTCTTTTTTTAAAAGAGAGAGCAAAATTTCATTTTATGCGTAGCTTTTGTTGAATTTTAGACCAGTCTGCATAGAAAAAGTGTTCGTTTAAATAATACCACCAAGAAAACACTGCAACTTTTTATTTAATAAAGGTAAGACTATTTTTGCAGAAAGGTGGGATCGAGACAATTATATTGACATAATATGGCAAAATATTGACAAAGGTAGGTAAGTCTGTCTATTTCTTGTCAATAATAAATAATAAAAAAATAATTGCAAAGAAGGAAATGAATCTAAAATTATGTCATGCAAGAAAACAATAAAACTGCAAAATAGCGGTGGGAAAGTAAGATTGACATTTTCATCATTTGTTTAACCTAAAAATGATTTATTCCTATCAGCTAAGGAAATACTTATTTAGAAACTTTTACATATAAAACTGGTACGCAATAATTTGTTGGTCGTTAATTTTTAGCTGCATTCGATCAATTTGGTAAAGTTGATTTGAGCAAAACTTCATATTATGGTCAACCGTATGACTATCAATCTATTTTGCATTACGATAGTTTGGCATTCAGTAAAAATGGATTTCCAACAATGTTGCCAAAAAAGATAGGTAAGTATGGTGAGTGCAAAAAGATATCCTAAAAATTATGGCGATAAGGAAATCTATTTAGTTATGTTGAAAAGCGAATTAAAAAACAAAAGGTAAACCCATTTTTATAAAAACATTAAACTTATAAAGAAGGTGGCTTAGTGGTTCTTTCATTTCGGAGCGTCTATACTGGGTGGTTTTACTGAGCGGTAAAAAGAGTGGATCTGCAATAATGCAGGAGTCGAAAATTGTTCGAAAAATCCGTGTGACGATCGCGCCTCGCTTATACGCAAATTTGTTTGGTCCAATAAGCCAACCAAGCAAGCCTAATTATAAATGAGAAAAGAAGAGTTGACATTAGATACAAATTAAATAAAACAACTGTTTTTATAGGATTGGCTTCCACAATCGGCAATGCGAAGGATTTCAGCGTGATAGATTTGGCAAAAATAAATCGAATGTACGACTGCCCAGAAAAAACGCCTCTACTCATTAGAGCTAAGGTTTAATTAATTTATTTGAGCCATATCTTTAGAGCTACTCAAAAATTTATCTGGAAATTCGCTACAGCTCGTATTCATTTTTTCATTTTTTCGTTGAAACTTATTAAACTTATAAACTTTCAGAGTTCCTTAGACTTTACACCTACAAAACAATTTGAAAATCCTTCTTTAAGTGGAATATATTTTGATAAATTTTTATCGAAACTTGGCAGAGATTTGTGTAAGTCTTTTTTTTCTCGATAAATGGCCAGAGTTATATTATTTCAGCTAAGAGTTCAAGCATCATCGGTTTGGTAACTTTCCCTTAATAAATCGTAAAAGTGGAATCTGTTGAGTATTAGAAATGGTATCGTTATTGTTCACGGCCGCTATGGCTATATTGCTATTGTCTCCGAGTAGCTCTGTGGTACTTTTTGCATAGTAATTTGTGAATTCAGCAAGAATGAAAATGATGAGTGCTAGAAGAAGAAATAGGAGTGCAAGGTTAATGTCACAAATATGAATTATGTTTATGCATGCTATTTTACACACTTATTTGAAATCCTCCCTCAATTTTCATCGAATATTTACCATCTATCTTGGCTTAATAGTAAAACTATAATCCTAAATACTTGTTCGGAACTTTTACGATTAAGTCGCAACTTCCTCATCATTATGCATATAGGATTCAATTAGAATGCAGTTTTCCCCCTAATTAGATTAGAGAAATATTTTTCGCATTTTAAGTTCATTTCCTATAATCGGTTGAATATACGACTGTAAGGTGCGGTGCTGTTTGAATTAGCTTGAATTATTTTATAAAATTACTCATCATCCAACCACTTATCTGAAGTGCTGAAATATATTCCTCAGCAATTTGAAGTTCTCAAAAAAAGAGGGAAATGCGGTTAGAATTTTTTTAGAATTATTTACTTATAGAATTTATAGAATTGCAAATCCTTTAAAAATAAATTTTTTTTTTAGCTTGCGAAGATGAAATCACAGTTTGTTGGTGGATTCAGGATCGATGCAAATCGCGATCACTTCAAGCGATGATGAAAAATTTATGTGCTAAAACCTGTGATCTCTGCTGACAATAATAATAATAAGTCTTAGAAGTCTGTAATATTTGGAGAATCAGCTCTTCTGTAGCAGTGAATTAGTTTCACAATATTTTTAAGTTTTGTTAGGCGCTGGATCCCTTAAGTTATTATTATTTCTTACCATTTTTGTTTGTACTAATTCACATTTCTCCTCTTACAAATAAATAAAGTAAAAATATTTGAAAAGCTATATTTATTATTTTCTCAATAATTACTTGTCCTGTTTTTAAAAAAAATGTCTATGTCGAAGCAGTTGTTTTTTATGACCTTTTATTTCTTCAAGGAAAAGGGAAACAAATATTTCTTGCATGTTTCCTTTTTTCAGTATTCGTTGGTTACGACCAGTTTGCCTCTCATTCTTCCTTTCGAATGCAGCAAAAAATTTTATCGTACTATATTAATTAATTGCCATATCCAAATATTTGTATATTTGTATGAATCTAGTATTTTTCTTCGAAATATTCTATTTAATGTCGTTTTATGCGATGTCTTCGATACCTCCATCTCCCATTCAGTGGATACAATCGGCTTGGATGGCATTTTCAAACTTCCGTTAATATAAAAAATGATAAGTAAAAAAAATGCTTTTTCAAATTTTTCAGCATTTTTAATCTATTATACCAACAACTTATTTGTTATTTCCCTCTTTGCAGACAAATGCCAAATTCAAATGTTGAAAGCAAACGGATTTGAGATAATTATATGGCAAAATAGTGCCCTCTTCGTTTTCAAAAATATCGAATAAATTGTCGAATTCTGGAAATATTTATTTGAATAAATGAATCTCCTAATGCCAAAAATTTTCGTGTTATATTCGATTTGGCTTGAAAAAATGAACTGATTTAAAAAGAATGACTTGCGAAAAATTTTTGATACTAGGATAGAAGCCTAGGTTAATAGATTACAGCGATATTTCCGTGGCAACTTTGGCAATAAGAAACTGCAGATCCATCCATACTTCGATCGTCAAGTGGGCTCTATCTGTCTGATAAAATTTTCTCCTATTATTAATTATGAAGAAAGTTTTACCATGATTATAAGCACCACTTATTTATTTCATTACTTTAGCCATAAAAACGAATTTTTCAAATTTATTTAATATTTCCATTATTAAATAATAGAATATTTGTTGTCTGCAATTTATGCAAATTTTCATCATTTTACTGAATCATCTGACTTTTTTTAAAGAATGACAAAGAAACTTATTATAACATTTATTAGATCCTATCAAGCTTACATTCATTTTCATTCAACCATCTATTCCGGTCGGATTGCTAAAAAAGTGTCTGCAAATTTTTACTTTTTGTATATTTTATGACGGAAAATGGCGTTATCCACTTCAAATATCCTAAAAATTAATTTTTTTCTTTTTGGAGAATCGAATAAATATATTTCAATTGTCTATTTAATGAAGAGTCAAACATAAAATTCGGACCTTAAATTACTGAATTGATGATAATCAACGCTGTTCAATACACGTGGCACGGAATATAAAACTCTCTTGCAAAAAAAACTCTTGGAATAGCTGAAAATTTTATTTTAGAATACATTCTCCATTTTAAATACAATTTGATATTATTTAAAATATTATTGTCGTATGTATATTGTTTAGCACAACACTGCGAATTAATCCCGTTTATCGATCACTAACGTCTTCGTTGTCAATCATCTGAATAGTTATTTTCACTTTTTTTATATTTTATATATTTTTGCCAAAAAATAAGAATAAATATAAATTCGCTAAATGAATACGACAAATATCCCATTTCTTAATGGTATTTCACAGAATTTGCACATCTCATTTTATAGAATCCTTTTTAAAAAATTTCAACATTGTTTATTATTATTTCGAACTTTAAACACACGTTTTGCATGTTTAAATATTTTAACAAATTAGTGAACTACTGAAATAATAGAAAAATTGGCTGTGTTATTAAAAAACTGAAATTGTCCAAATAGGTGTTGAGGGGATGGAATGCCCAATACGCTTGAGTTCTACTCTCTAGCAGAAGAATCTATCTTTCAAAAATCGGAGATATGCTGGAGACTTTGCTTTACAATTTACAATTTGCTTTGCATTTTCCACTTTCTAAGTCCATATATCGCTGGTTCTATATACGCTCAAAATCTTTTCTGACAGTATGATATGTCCAAGTCATGATTGGTCCACTTCGCTTTTGGCGCTATACAACCCAGGATTTAGCAAGTAACGAAATATGTGTCAACTCTTGCGGTGGGCGACGAAAAACATGCGCCATAACCAGCGAAAGTGGCACTCTTGTTGGTAGTAAATGCTATTTGGAGAAGAAGAGGTTGTTATATGCGATTTTATCCGCTCGACGGATCCATAAAATACATTTTAGACATGAGTGGTCAAAGGCTATTACCATTTGACAAATTATCTGATAAGATTTGCTTGGTTCGAAGCAAGAAAACTGGTGAATGCATTAAAACAAAATTTTTATTTTCACGAAAAAATTGATAAAAAATTGGAAAATTTATCATCATCGGATAATATCGAAATCCTCAAAATTAATGAAATAGTTGTAAATTAGAGATCAAAATGAAATTATATAGGCAGAAAATCTATTCAAATATTTTAAAAATATTTATAAACCAAATTAATGATAAAAAATTGCGATTAATGATAAAAAATGATAAAAATGGTGGAAAATTTTCTGGAAGAATATTTTAGACAGAGAAATGCCTCTCACAAGATATTTATTTTTTTCATCCATTCATTCACCAATATTTTATTTTATTTCATTTCCTTCACCAATACTTAATTTTGTTGCTTCGCTGATAAATATTTTTCTTATTTCGGCAGTGATAGGTTTTATGTGATATTTATTAGTATTTCTACTGTTTCTTCTGGAAAAATACATTGATTTGTAATAAAAACTTCTAAAATAATCTATAAATAATGGTCTATAAATGAAAAAAATTTCAAGAATTTTAAATCTTCTAATTTTTTTCTAAGCTCGTCGTTTCGCTCGTAATTTCGAGTTAGTCTCACTTAGCACTCAACAAACAAACTTGTCATTTCTGAGGAAGTTTCTCGGCGACAGAAATACAGGCTGAGTCGCCGGCATCAGTCAGATTTTTGAAAGTTGGCTTTGTTTTTGCCGAAACTAGAACCGCAGCATCGGTGCTATGAAGTGAGAGCAACCCATTAAGCCATTTTATACATTTTAAATCTAACGGTTATTTTTTTGAAGTAATTCTTCAATAAAAAATAATTAAACTTATCGATCAGTCGAAATCGCCAAATTTTTTTTTTGTTTTATATTGCAAATTTAAAAAAATGAAAAAATCGCATTTCATTTGCAGTAATTTTTATTAATTTAATTTAATAGAAATTTAATATGGAATTTAATTTAATATGAAAAAAAAGAATTTGAAAGCTTACAAGCTTAATTACTCGCCCTTTTTATAAAGAAAGGTAGTGTTCGATACAAGAAAATAATGCATTGTCTAAAGTGGGAGATGATTAAGCGTTTCTATAGGTTTCAGGTGGAACGCGCTGGTACACCATTATTTTGCGACGTCTTACGCATTGTCTTCCACGTTTTATACAGGTCGATTGACGAATCACCTTGATCATATCTTTTTTTTTTTATTTTAGCCTCATATTTTCGAATTTACCAACAAATTTAATTTAAAAGTTTATTTTTAATAATTTTTTTAATAATTTAATTTTTTACCGCTTGAACAGTTGTATTCTTGCGATGAATTAATTAATATTATAATAAAATAAAATAATAAATAATAAAAATAATAAAAATGAAAAAAATGAAATCTCGCCATATAATAGTTTTTATAATTTCGATTCCAGTTTTCTTGATTTTCAAATTGCAATTTTAAGAATTTACTTTTGATTTTTTTCTTTTTTTTACTGATATTTCTACAAGTTTCGTTTTAGTATATTTTTCATTTTAGGCATTTTGAAATTATTTTAACTTTTTAGTTCATTATTATATTTTTATTTTTTATAGTTTTATATTTTTAATTAATTACATTAATTATATTTTTTTGATTATAAACCATCGGTTTTCAACTTAAAAACGATTTTATTTTCAAAAAATAAATTATAAATGAGGAAAAAGAAATAGTTTTACATAAAAATTTTACAAAAAAACGGCCAAATTGGAAGCTTTTTAAGCTTTTTCTTTAAAAAAATTCTCATATTCCCTCGGAAAATAAAGAAGAAAGAAATTTTTCAGTTTAATATATTCCATCCAGTTATATACGTATTATGTTAAGTGTTTAAGTGTCAAGTAGTGTCATTCGGTTCATCTAAGCATAATTTCGGTTTTGTCGATGCGAATCGATATTCTTGTGATAGGCAATTTTTCTTCCTGAATTATTAAGTAGATTATTTTCTGCTATCAGTTCTATTCTAAAAATTTGCCATTTATTTCAGTTACTACAAGGCAAATAACTATTCAGTTTGGTTATATCTTGGGATTCTAACTGAATTTAGCCATAATGTTAGCAGCTAATTCTTTTAGCAAAGAATAGCAAAGTTTATAGGTTGGAACGTTGTTAAATCGAGGAATTGCATTCAGTAATATGTTTCACAACACTCCAATTTGCAGTTTCATTCATCTTACGAATATCTCCACATTTAGTTAATGTGAATTGAGTGCTTTAGGTTTCGGCTGTATTTTTGTTAGCCATTTAAATTTCTTTCTTCATCGACCATTTAGAAATTATTTTTTCCTTATGAAATAACTGTATTTACTTTTGTCGAAATTACATCCAAAAATTTTTGATAATTTATCCAAAAAAAAATCTTAATATTGGAGATATTTAATAACGCTTTTGGTTCTTTAATAACACGAAAGGCTTATAAAAAACTTAATAAGGCAGAAAATCTTCGTAATATCTTTAATGCCTCAAATATGAACAAAAGCCATTTTATTACTATGTGTAATGCCTTTTGCTAGTTTTAGATGGAGGGATTCTTCACGTGGGCTTCACGGGTGTTC